ATAATTGGATTGCCATGCAGACTGCTGCTAATATTTCTAACATTGCGTCTGAATTTTGCTATGCGTGCTGCTGTTATTAAAATTCACTAAACTAGTGATCTGAATAGCTATGCATACTTCTGCTACAGCTGCACAAAAGTACTTGCTATAATTGCTATAAGCGTTTTATTACCAAGCAAACGCAATCAAATAATGCCTATTTCGCTTTGAAGAGTTCACAAAATCTACTGTAAGCCCTGTTACGTTTTATTACCAAGCAAACGCAATCAAATAATGCCTATTTCGCTTTGAAGAGTTCACAAAATCTACTATAAGCCCTGTTAAATAAGCAAAGAAATAAAATGCCTATTTCACTTTAAAGAGTTACTTACCCCATGCATTATCACTGAAATTTCAAGCAACTAAAAGTACTTTCTGCAGCCGCTGCTATATTAGCAACAATATTTTGACTTCCTGCTGCTAATATTATTTCTAACAATGCATATGAATTTGCTATGCATGCTGCTGCCACTAAATTTGCTACATGCGATCTGAATAACTATGCATACTGCTGCTACAGTTGCACAAATATACTTAGAATTGCTATAAGCCCCTTTTAAATAAACAAAACGCAAATGATGCCTATTCACTTGAAGAGTTCACATACCATCCATTTTTAGTCACTGAAACTTCAGCAATTGTAAGTCCTTTTGAATAAAACGTACGAGCGGGTATATTATTTTCTGTTGTTCATTAAGTTGTTATGGTTAATTAGGTAAGGTTGTTGACAGTATGACGTATATGAAAGACAGTTATACGGGTTCACCTTGAACTGTGAAACGCCAACTGCAAACCGACCCCACTAGTGAGGTGTGCATCTGAAAGCGATCCGTTCTCGGTTAATGTAAAAATGAATGCCCACAGAAGATATTAAAAGCATTAGAGATTTCGGGCAAATAAGGTAATCCCCAATTCACTTTAATGTTCTAAAATCCGTGACACTTTGATGTTGTATTCTCACATACATGAACTAGGAGCACTGCTTGCTGCTGCTGCTAATGCTACTGCTGTAATATGAACAAGACATGCTTTATAATTAATCCTCACGCAAATAATCTGCGCGTAGTTTTACTTGTATGTTTTCTAGTTTAAAAATGTAAATCTGACGAACGCAATAATGCACTGAAATCAGAGTGAAGACTAACAACCCGTCAGCCTGCGCCATCTAGAGTTTCATGACTGTACTATATATTACTCTTTTGGGGTTTCCGAGACTCCAGATATAAAAAAAACAAATGCATTAAATGTTCATGTCCTATGATTCTTTGATTAGTAAATATTTTGTAGCAGGACATTTCTACAAATTGTAGTAGTTTTTTGCATTTTTTTATTATGTCTTTTTGCTGAGGTCAAATGGACCCCAAACGAACAGAAACCATGTTACTATATTGCATAACTGTTACTTTTATGAAAAGTGCATGTCTGTTTTGTGTTAAAGCAGAGGGATGTCAGATGAATTTGAAGTGAAAATTAGGTTAATTTTGAAATTACTAATATTGAAGTATGAAGTAACTGATGCTGCATGCACTGGGTTTCTTTTTGTCTTTTTTTCCCCTCAAATATCTGTTAGCCTGCTGAGCGGTACGGTCCCACATATGGGATTTTTATTCCGTGCCCCTGGGAGTATGGTCCCACATATGGGATTTAGAACGTTCAGTGACGTCACATAACTGCCAAATTCAAACTGCATTGTCACGCTTTGGCTGACGCTGAGACGCCGCTGCACTGTCATATAATCACAACTATGCAGTGTTTTAACCACATAATGTTTATTTTAGGTTTCAGACATTTAAATACACATAAGTACTAGTAAAACAATACATTTAGAGTTCGTACAATACACACAGATGTTTATGGAAGCAGCAATAACAATCCATTCAAATATAATTTGATGATGTGTTTTATTAATATCATATACACATAGTGTAAGTAACTATAAAGTTCACTCTATACTTCTCCCAGTTCACCGGCCACTTATTTGCATGTATTTCGGGAGAAATTGATGAATTTACGTGTGGTAAATCTGACTGACAGGAATCTCTGAACTGTAGCGTGAACAAACATGGCGGCACCCATCTCACGGTATAGATCACGATCAAGAAAATTTAGAACGGTTTTTAAACGACAAAACACACTCAATTGGAATATCAGATAGTTGATGATATGGTAAGCAAGTTTATAAATATTTTCAAAAAAAAAAAAAAATATATATAATATATATACACAGTGGTGTGAAAAAGTGTTGGCCCCCTTCCTGATTTCTTATTTTTTTGCATGTTTGTCACACTTTAATGTTTCAGATCATCAAACAAATTTAAATATTAGTAAAAGATAACACAAGTGAACACAACATGCAGTTTTGGGGCCAACACTTTTTCACACCACTGTATATATATATAAACAAAATAATAATTAAAAAATATTTTGAAGAAAAAAACGAAATAAAAGCGATCCATCTGTCATACAGTGTTATTGTGGCCGCGGTGTGTCATGTGACAAGCATGACACATCGCCATGGAAACAATAAGGGGAAACATTCTAAAATAAAGGTCGCCTAAAAAAAACTCACTCTTGTCACGACTGCTACTGTGTTGGAGCGAGGAACGAGAAGCACGTAGGAGAATCACCATAAATACAGTCTTTATTTATTGAAACCAGAAGGAACACACACGTAGCACCGAGACTGATGTTTAACACAGGATGCTAGACACAGGAAACACTGGGCTTAAGTAAACGGAACTGAACGAGGGAACTAACAAAACATAGCTGAAACAAATGGAACTCAATATGAACAGGAACAGGAAGAACCAAATAAGGGCATGAAACACACAAGGGAAAACTAGGTCATGGAGAGCACATGAGGAGAAAAACACAAGGCAGGAAGACAGAGCATGGGCGTGACATTACCTCCCCCTCCCAGAAGGCACGTCCACGCGCCTCGTAACATCCAACAGGGAGGGGGGTGGGCGCTCTGGAGGCCTCTACGGACAGGCTTACGTGAGACGGATGGCCTCCAGGGCGGTACCGGATCAGGCAGCTCTAGATGTCATGGTGGATCAGACAGTTTGGGGAGCCATGGCGGAGCAGGCAGACTAGGGAGCCGTGGCGGAGCAGGCAGACTAGGGGGCCATGGCGGAGCAGACAGTTCAATGGGCCATGGCGGAGCAGACAGTTCATGGGGCCATAGCGGAGCGGCCTCCGTGGCCTTGGCCTCGGCACTGAGCCCGACCTCTACGGCCGGAGCTCTATAGCCCCTCCAAAAAAATTCCTTGGGGGAAATTTCGGTTCCTGAGGCCCTCCGTGGGCCTGACGTAGGAGCAGCGGCCCTCCCTGGACTTGACTTGGAAACAGGGGCCCTCTCTGGGCATGACTCGGGAACAGGAGCCCTATCTGGGCTAGACGTGGGAACGGGAGCCCTCTCTGGGCTTGGCTTGGGAACAGGAGCCCTCTCTGGGCTTAACATGGGAACATGAGCCCCCTCTGGGCTGGACGCGGGAATAGGGGCTGGAGCCAACCCTGGAGCAGACTCAGGGGCTTCCTCCGCATTCTCCTTTTTTGAGCAGCGGTGAAGGAGGCTTGAGAGTGCAGCGGTTGGCGGCTCTGGGCTGAGGACCAGGAAGGAGCTTCAGAGAACTCGGGGGTGCCTTAGGTTGGGCAGGTGGTCGGAGCCGCTGGTGAGGTATATAGGGGTACCTGGCGTGGGGTGAGCTGGGGAGACATGACTTGTTTCAGAGGGGGCTGGACGAGGAGACTTTAAATTTTCCTTTACTTCTTCCACTTCGTAATCGGAACTGTTTAAATAAAGGACGAGACCAATCAGCTCGATCAGGGGAACATCACACGTGGGGAGATCGCAGCGGATCGTATCATCGTCCAGCCCCAGCTGGAAACACACACCAAGAGCGGCGTTGTGCCAGCTCACCCAGTTAAAAAGCTCAAGGAATTCCTCCACATATCTCTCCAACCTCCGACCAGCCTGCCGCAAACACCACAGCCTGTCCTCAGCCTCTGTCATCTTGTATAGGTCCGGTGTTCTGTCACGTTTCACAGGAGTGGAGCGAGGAGACAAGGAGTCGTAGGAGAATTCCCATAAATACAGTCTTTATTTATCGAAACCACAAAGAAACACGCATAGCACCGGGAATTACGTTTAACACAGGACGCTAGACACAGGAAACACTGGGCTGAAGTAAACGGAACTGAACAAGGGAATTAACAAGACACAGCTGAAACAAATGGAACTCAATAGGAATAGGAACAGGAAGAACCAAATAAGGGCATGAAATACACAAGGGAAAACTAGGTCATGGAGAGCACATGAGGAGAAAAACACAAGACAGGAACACAGAGCTGACCATGGACGTGACAACTCTGGGGGGACTCACCAGTGAAAGCGTTAGAGCAGTTTTAGTGGAGGAGAGAAGAATTTATCAGAACAATTTGAAGTGAAAATGAGGTTAATTTTAAAATTACTAATATTATCTTTATATACAGTATACATAATTGGAAACCCCCCCTCCAAAAAAAAAAAAAAAAGTAAAGTCAAGCTCAACAGAACATGAGGGGTAAGAGTTGGATTTTGTTATAACATATGTATATGTATATGTTGCATAAACTCTTGTAACGGCTGAAACTGGTGTGTTTTATTGACCTTTGCTTTCCAGTGATGCTTCTAATTGTATGAGTTTGGGTTATAAAAGTTGGACAGGTTATAAAAGATGTATGAAATAATTATGCTTCAGAACTTTTACTCACCAATGACTCTTGCAGGAGTATATAGAGCTGGTTGTGTCCATGTACGTGTGCAAGATCCAGTGGTGTGTGTCCATGGCTGTTGGGGATCTTAAGGGCCTGCCGGGATCCAGGACACTGCAGCAAAGCACTGGCCAGGTCTCGCAATCCATGCTGGGCCGCAAAATGTAGGAGAGTAGGAATGTCCTCTGAATGACACTCTGGAAAAGGGAAGAACAAATTTCTACTTAAAAATGTAAATTATGTTTAAGTAGAAAATGGCAATAATATTTTAAAACATAGTCTAATAATCTTTGTTTTATTTACAACTTCAAAAAAATATTTTCTTAGAGTACTGCACCAAAGAAAGTGATTTTCAATCAGTACATTTTCATGTTTTACAGTGTAGATCTTATTAAAAGAGCTCAATTTAAATTAAAGCTGCAAGCAGCGTTGAAAGCTCACCACCACCCAGTAGCTTTAGGAAAACAGCGAATGGTGGGCAATATGCATTTAAATTGGAAAATAAAGGAGGAATATGTCAAAGTAATTTTTATGTGCCAAACTTCCTTCTGCCAGCTGGTGGCGCTATGACTATAACTAGGGTTGGGTATCGTTTGGTTTTTTTTCGATAACGGTGTCAAATCGATATTTTTAAAACCGTTCCGGTGCCTAAACAGTGCCTGAACCAATACTTATTAAAAAATTAATAAATAAATAAATAAATAAATAAAAATTCCCCTCAAAAATGATGGATTGGTCATTAGCGCTATAAACACATGATGTCTGTTTCATTCATACTGGTCGCCAGAGGGCGCCCTCGCACAGAAAATCCACATATCCAGTCACAGAAGTAGAGAACTCATGACCCTCAAGGAAATCCCTTATATGGACAAAGGCATCATATTATATCTGTAACTGAGTAAACAGAACATATAAACGTTTTGAATGATAAAACAAAGACAATAAACACTCGGCTGCTTGGATTGAGTTGGGCAGGTCATTCCACCAGGAGGGAACAGTTAATGTAGAAGTCCATGAAAGTTTTATCATAGGTAAAATGCAACATGTTTCAATACAAGCATTTCAGTCAAATGTAATTCATGCAATATTTCAAACCTTTAACCCACTTGGGAAAATCGACCCATGGCAACAGTTTAAAAGTAACCCAATTATGTGGAGAAAACACAGACTTGGCAACCCTGCATCCAACAAGAGCTACCGGAGTCAGCTTTGACTGATCACAGGTCGAGAATAAGGAGAGATGACTGACAAGACCATGCTGGAGTATTTGCTGCTCAACAGATCCTGAGCTCATTGACAAATATCTGATCTTGTTAGATGTGCTCCCTTTACAAAGAGTGTGTCTGATCGCGAAATCGAAAGTGAAAGTAAACAGCGCAAACGCTCATTCAAAAATATGTAAATACACCGCATCCTGAGAGCGGCTCCCTGATGCACCAAAATTATACACAATATTAGAATGTTTAAAGGAGTGGACACGAAAATCGCGGGAGCGAAACACATGTTGCGGAAGCAGGAGGCAATGGTCAGAGATTCAGCCGGAGTGGGATTAAGAACACAGCCGAATCCCGGACATTTTGGGCAATTAAGAAATCCCGGCCGGACGCATTTTTGTAGGTCCAAAAAGAGGACATGTCCGGGGAAAAAAGACGTATGGTCACCCTAGTGTAGTGTGAGTGAATTCTTATTGCTGGTGGTGACACAATTCCGTAGCTGGCGCCGTGTTATGATTTTGAAATGTGCAGTGCTCATGTTTATTCAACTTAATCAAACACCACAAATAAATCAATGTATGGGAAACACTGGTAATGTATATCGAAATATCGGAAATGTGTTTAAAAATCATATCACCGTTATTGAAAAAAATTATATCGTGATACATATTGATATTGAATTATTCTCCAGCCCTAGTAACAAGTTTCGAAGAGTTTGGATAATGCATTTTTAAAGATATAAGAAAATTACTGCTATCTTTTTTTTTACAGTTACTTTTTGTTTTAGAATCACAACAGTCACATCTATGAGATGATGTAAATTCAGATGAATGTCATGTCACAGGATGTCATAGGTCACTCAAATAAGTGTCAAATTATTATTTGCAGCACCAAAATGTAAAAGTCCACGTGTATGTATCTTTAGATCTTTTTATGTTGTAATTAACATAATTATTAACCTAATTATATAAAATTATGTTGTCAGTGCGCTACAAATTAACTGGTTCTAGGATTTTTTTTGTCCCTAAAACTGTCAGAAAAGGATAAGGCCTAAGTTATTTCTTAAGCTGTAATGCAGACAAAATCACACAGATATAAATGAATAGACCCTTAAACCATAAAGAGTGTAAATAGACCCCCCCCCTCTCTCTCTGTCAACCCCCGCACACACACACATAGAGGTAGAGTGAGATCAGATGTCTGATAGTTTTGTAATTTTCTGTTAGCCTTTAGAGTATATCGAAATATCGGAAATGTGTTTAAAAATCATATCACCGTTATTGAAAAAAATTATATCGTGATACATATTGATATTGAATTATTCTCCAGCCCTAGTAACAAGTTTCGAAGAGTTTGGATAATGCATTTTTAAAGATATAAGAAAATTACTGCTATCTTTTTTTTTACAGTTACTTTTTGTTTTAGAATCACAACAGTCACATCTATGAGATGATGTAAATTCAGATGAATGTCATGTCACAGGATGTCATAGGTCACTCAAATAAGTGTCAAATTATTATTTGCAGCACCAAAATGTAAAAGTCCACGTGTATGTATCTTTAGATCTTTTTATGTTGTAATTAACATAATTATTAACCTAATTATATAAAATTATGTTGTCAGTGCGCTACAAATTAACTGGTTCTAGGATTTTTTTTGTCCCTAAAACTGTCAGAAAAGGATAAGGCCTAAGTTATTTCTTAAGCTGTAATGCAGACAAAATCACACAGATATAAATGAATAGACCCTTAAACCATAAAGAGTGTAAATAGACCCCCCCCCCTCTCTCTCTGTCAACCCCCGCACACACACACATAGAGGTAGAGTGAGATCAGATGTCTGATAGTTTTTTTTTTTTTTTGTTAGCCTTTAGAACATTATAAATTCATGAAACTAAGCATGTTTCCTCAGAATGACTTGTTCTTTATATATTAAAAGTTTTGAAGAGTTTGGATAATGCACTTTAAAAATATAAGATAATTACTGTTTCCTTTTTTACTGTTATTTGAATAAATCACCATGGCAACTTCGTTCAAGATATCCACAATCCGTTCGCAATTTAAGTTCCTCAATGTTTTGCAATCATGCTGACAAAGTTTGGTGTGAATTCCATGATTTTCAGAGGACTAGTATGTATTAATTCACAGCCATATTTTTCCAAAAATCCACATTCGAATCAAAATAGCAGACTTCCTGTTGGCCGTAGCTGATGACTGTAAATTAGAAAGTTGTCCAGCTTCATGAGAACAATATATGTACAGAGTTTGGTAACTGTAGCTAAAACTAACCCCCCCCCCCCCCTCAAAAGGTGGCGCTATAGAGTGCCTCTTCCACGCCCTTTTTTTCATGAAATTCTAAGCATGTTATCTGCCTCAAAAACACAGTAAATGAATAGTAAAGTTTGACATGTTGCCATGGCAACACTATTTAATATATCAATAATCTCATCCCAGTTTTACATCGGCTGTGTTTTTACATCATTCTGTTGAAGTTTGAAGCAAATTTAGTAAAAATAAGATGCTGAATTTAAAACATTTTGAAAATGACACACTTCCTGCTTCCAGTTGGTGGCGCTATAACTTTGACTCCTAATAGTCACATCTATGTGATCGGGCTTATACAGCGAACAAACTGCTGAAGTTTCAATGTCATAAGACAATGTGTGCAGCAGTTATTAGACACTTCCTGTTTATCATTTCTCGCCATAATTTCTTTGCCTCGCCATGGCCAAACTGTTTGAGATATCAAAACTTTCTCCCCTTCTTTACATTCTTTATACTGATGATTGTTGTAGTCAACATGATAACAGGTTTATTTTAAAATACGCCGATGATCCTGTTATAGTTAGTCTTCTTCATTCTGATGAAAATGGTCACAGTCCTGTAGTCAATGATTTTGTTCATTGGTGTGATAGAGCGTTCTTGCAACTAAATGTTGCAAAGCCAAAAGAAATGCTCATTGATTTTAGACATAAATCTACTGTTATTCAGAATACTGTTATTAAGGGACAGGCAATTGAAGTTGTGGAATCTTGGCAGTTTGATTGATAATAAGTTGAAATTTGTAGCCAATGCGGAGATGATTGGTAAGAGAGCACAATAACGACTATATTGTCTTCGCAAATTGTCAAAATTTCATGTGGATAAGACTCTTATGTCCCTTTTTTATAAATCTTACATTGAGTCCATTTTAACATTTTCTATAATATGTTGGTATGGCAATCTTAGTGTTAAGGCTAAAAATGCTTTGTCCAGAATAACAAAGGTTAGCAAAAAAAATTTAGGTACTGTGCAGAGTAGTCTTACTGACCTGTATAATAGACAGGTGATGCGGAAAGCCAACCCCATTTTATCGGCCAGTGATCATCCCCTGTACTCTGAGTTTGAGTTTTTACCTTCTGGTTTGCGGCTTAGAATTCCTTTAGTGAAGAGTAATCGTTACAGATGCTCATTTATTCCTACTGCAATATTCATGCTAAATGTAGGTAATGGTTAGTGGTTAATATATACAGTGGGTACGGAAAGTATTCAGACCCCCTTAAATTTTTCACTCTTTGTTATATTGCAGCCATTTGCTAAAATCATTTAAGTTAATTTTTTTTCCTCATTAATGTACACACAGCACCCCATATTGACAGAAAAACACAGAATTGTTGACATCTTTGCAGATTTATTAAAAAAGAAAAACTGAAATATCACAAGAAACTGAGCTATCGGGGGAGAAGAGCCTTGGTGAGAGAGGTAAAGAAGAACCCAAAGATCACTGTGGCTGAGCTCCAGAGATGCAGTCGGGAGATGGGAGAAAGTTGTAGAAAGTCAACCATCACTGCAGCCCTCCACCAGTCGGGGCTTTATGGCAGAGTGGCCCGACGGAAGCCTCTCCTCAGTGCAAGACACATGAAAGCCTGCATGGAGTTTGCTAAAAAACACCTGAAGGACTCCGAGATGGTGAGAAATAAGATTCTCTGGTTTGATGAGACCAAGATAGAACTTTTTGGCCTTAATTCTAAGCGGTATGTGTGGAGAAAACCAGGCACTGCTCATCACCTGTCCCAACAGTGAAGCATGGTGGTGGCAGCATCATGCTGTGGGGGTGTTTTTCAGCTGCAGGGACAGGACGACTGGTTGCAATCGAGGGAAAGATGAATGCGGCCAAGTACAGGGATATCCTGGACTAAAACCTTCTCCAGAGTGCTCAGGACCTCAGACTGGAACTAAGGTTTACCTTCCAACAAGACAATGACCCTAAGCACACAGCTAAAATAACGAAGGAGTGGCTTCACAACAACTCTGTGACTGTTCTTGAATGGCCCAGCCAGAGCCCTGACTTAAACCCAATTGAGCATCTCTGGAGAGACCTAAAAATGGCTGTCCACCAACGTTTACCATCCAACCTGACAGAACTGGAGTGGATCTGCAAGAGGGAATGGCAGAGGATCCCCAAATCCATGTGTGAAAAACTTGTTGCATCTTTCCCAATAAGACTCATGGCTGTATTAGATCAAATGGGTGCTTCTACTAAATACTGAGCAGAGGGTCTGAATACTTAGGACCATGTTATATTTCAGTTTTTCTTTTTTAATATATCTGCAAAAATGTCAACAATTCTGTGTTTTTCTGTCAATATGGGGTGCTGTGTGTACATTAATGAGGAAAAAAAATTAACTTAAATGATTTTAGCAAATGGCTGCAATATAACAAAGAGTGAAAAATTTAAGGGGGTCTGAATACTTTCCGTACCCACTGTATATTGAGTGGGTGAGGTTGTAAATTGTATTATTAGGCTTCTGTTTTCGTATTATTTTTGTGCTTTTTATGTTTGTTTGTATGTCTTGCTGCAAAACTAATTGCCCCTTGGGGGACATGAATAAAGTTGAATGAATAACATTTTGACAATTCCTCTGTGTTAAACTGCAGTGGATCTGGGTCATACTGTACACGTATGAAAGTGGGCAGGAAAGCACACAAAGGAACAAGTGCACAGTAATGCACTTCTGTTGGGTGAGGCAGCTTCCCTTCATAATTTATTCATATCTATAACAGCCTGTAAAATAAAGTGCTGGTAGCTTTAGTTGTTTTGTGCTGCTCTAGATTTGGCTATCTGAAAACAGTGGACCTAAAATGGGTTAAAGGAGCTATACAGAACTAGAGAAGCCCTTACCTCCAGCAGGAGACTGATCACACTGCAGGCCCTGGAAACCTCCTGTCGGCATTTTCCGCATTAAACCGGAAGCCAGAGTTTGATCCAGCTTCTCCAAGGAAGACACCTGAAAAGCCTTCAAAACATAAGAAAAACATTACAAACCTTAAGAAAGTATTTCATGCTGAAGTGTGTGCCACTATCATCACTAAACCAAATTGTAAACATGAAGAAAGGTTTCCCAAACCCTTCTCCATCTTCCATTGGTCAGACAATCATATGGCTCTGTCGCAAAGTACTATTGCTGGCAAGTCAGTCTGGCCAGGATGCTAAGACAAAAGTTTTGATAGCACCTCAGAGCCACTTTTCAGGGGAATTAACCCATAGTTCAAATAATAATAATACATTTTTATTTAGTATAGCGCCTTTAAAAGGCTACTTTCTCAAAGCACTTTACAACACAAGCAAACACAACAATCCGAATTGAAACACAAAAATACAGAATAAAAATCAGCTAAAAGCAAGACAGAAATAAAAAGTTTTAAGATGAGATTTAAAAATACCTAACAAATTTTGCTTCCCTGATGTCAGCTGGGAGAGTATTCCAAAATTTGGGGGCATAAGATGAAAATGAGTTAATTTATATGACTAACTTTTAAAGTTGTGTCTACATATTCAGCTGGGATATTTTAACATTGACTAAATTATACACCTTAGTCACCTTA